GCTCGGCTCGTTTTATCAATATTGACGAGCCGATCTCGTGCTTTTACGACTCGAGCTATATAAAATTAGATAAAAAAAACCTCTTTTCGAGTCTTAATAAGAATTATCAAGCTGAGTCGAGCGGAGCCCGACTCGTAAACGAAACGAGCTTTAGGCGAGCTCGAGCTCGGCTCGTTTGATTCGAACTCAAGCCGAGTCGAGCTGAGCTCACGAGTGGCTCGTTTCTTTTAACAACTCTACGGAGGTAGTTTAGCATAGGTCGAGCTTGTTGAACTTGTATCGACCTCTGAGTATAGCGATTTTCCAATGGAACCATTGGATGACACGACTTATGAAACCATCTAAAATTATTCATAAATGGTTTGTTGACAAGTGTCCTACAATAATATCCAAAAGAGGTATCACGCTTGAAATGGATTAATTTGTTTAACCAAAATCGAATTAGTAAGATCTAAACAACCAAATGAACTTGAGCCTCAAGTAGCTTAGCCTAGTTAAGCTTGAAACGAGGATTTTGGTGATATGAGTTAAGAGTGATTTAGATTGTGTTCGACAACTATTCCTTCTACAATATGTGATTCTAATTTGAGCTTCTTGTCTAATACGTGTGACGGTAAATGCAGTGGGAGAAAGAGGCTCGAGCCAAGCGGGTCGGTTTGTGGGCATCATCAAACCCTGAGATGCCATGGGAATGGAGAAAGGACAGGCGTGAAGGTCGATAGCTCCCGCACATTTTCATAACTATTTATTAGGATTTGTCTATGTAACCGTATTATTGTATTGTGGTAAATGGTGTAATGGAAAATTTGGTGTGAAATTATTTCAACATTAAAAGTTGAGGAGTGAAAATTATGTATACATAGCTTTTGTCATCATTTCATATGTATCATAGTACAAGCTGCACATAAGAATCTGTTGCCAAAAAACATCAAATAGAACAAATATATGTCCAAGTGGAGTATCAGAACAAGACTGTAAAGAAGAAAATGCTCTAAGCTGAAGGGATATTTGCTGTTCGAAAACTCAGTGACGGTTTCAAAGGGGCACACACACGACAGCATATAAACCAGGCTAGCACCACTTTCACTGCAAGATGAGGGAAAAATAGGAAAGAACAAAAAGATCTCAGTATATTTGGGAGTTTTAGGGTGTGTTTGTCTGTAAATAAACTTAATTATTTACTAAAATCTAACTCAACTCTACAATTCTCAATATTATAAAATGTGCCAGATTGCCTGGGCGGACAGATCGGGAATATAATTAAATAATACCAATCAATTATGTTTACACATTACATCAACTTTAATCACTATTCATCCGCTCACATAACTTTAACTATCACTTCACATTGTCTATCTTCCACTTTTACATCAAATCAACATTATTATTTTATTTTAAATATTATTTTAATATGAACTCAAAAGTCCACTAGCAACTACTCGTACCACATTTTTTTAAATTAACTCTAGTTAATTAAAAAACTTGTTTTGAGTGAATATATTTGTATCCAAGCACACCCTTACAATTCAAACCAGCACCCTCATAAAACTCGACCGTGCCGGGAATGAATACGAATGTGTCTGAAATTTCGACAAATAAACTGCTCGCTAACACTAACACAAAATTCATTATAAAAAGATAGCTTTTGTGTGTTTTCCTTGTTAGATATAATTTTCATGTACTTGGCTGGCATAATTCATGATGACGAAACTTACTTTTTCTCCTTGCTTATGTTTCCATTTCCAATGTAAAGCACGCCTCATTCTATTCGGCTTCCTTTGCATCATCAGAATCTGAATCACTTGAACTACAACCTTAACAAACACACACACACACACACACACAAATGAAAAGATAA